CATTTCCTAACCCTCCTCACACAATGACCAGATTCTGTTGGGTGTGTTATAAACAGAGGGGCCATTCTTCAGACCCGCTGCTCTGAGCACACCCCAATTTACAGATTTGCTCTCAACTATGGTACTTGTTTCTTGGGGGGAGTGCTATCCTGCTGGATCTGATGGCTCATGCCTATAATTCCACCACTTAAGACAAGAGGACCAAACAGCCTGGGTTGTAGAACAAGAGACCTTGCCGCATACAACTGAGGAGAAGAAAAAAGAAAAGCCCTTTAGTCAGACCTTGGCTGAGGAAGTGCTGTCACTCCACACTTCTAAGGAAGCCACATTCCAGAGTATGGGAAGTACACACTGAACCCAGCACCCAAACAATCGCCCAAAGAACACGGGTTAAATGACAGACAGAAGCCATAACAGTACAATTCTAGATGCCCAAGGAATTCCATACATATCTACATGAAATTCACACCGCACATTTCAAGTAGTCATTAGCTGACCAGCTTTAATTGTTCCTAGTCACAAATGATAATGATCCATTTACATTGAAGAACATATGACCTTCTCACAATACACATCAGTTAATGAAATCCCTTGGTGTGAGTAACTACATTTCACAAATACAAAAATAAAACTATTGTAGAATTGAATATCTAAAATATTAAGTGAATTTGATACGAGTCTTGTCATCCTAATATGTTTATAAAATGCCTCTACCACTCAGAAACCCTAGCACTGGGGAGATGGAAACAAGAGAATCACAAGTACAAGAACATACATAGAAAATAAGAGGTAACTTCTAAATAATTTTCTAGCATAAAATCTATTACCCCAGATAAAGTTGTAAGGAAAATATGAGAAGAAAATATGAATTTAATAGTAAAAGGAACAGTTGAGATTTTACTGCTGATGTCTTTATTGATGTGATTTTTAAATGTATGAAGCCGATATCAAGTCATTACAGTATTTAAGACCATTTATTCATGAACAATAGTGTGACTGTTGTATTTTAAATGCTTCTACGGCTGTTGATGAGACAGGGTCTCATGTAGCCCACAGCAGCCTCTAGCTATTGTGTAACTTCTAAAAGCCTGCCTCCCGTTCTGAGTTCCGCTAAGGTGTGCAACACTATACCCAGGGTTTACGTGGTGCTGGGAACCAAACCCAGGGCCTTAAGCAAACTATGCAACACTACCAACAGAGCCGCATCCTCAGCCCTTAAAACGCTTTTCCTGCTCCATGTTTTAAGTAACAAATGCACAGAATATGCTGGGAATTGTATATTTTAAAAGTATCTGACCTGTTTGATTTTACAATACATTAGATGTAAGCTTATGGACATGGAATTGTGCATGGTTTCCTCTGAATAAGCAAAATAGTCTGCAGGTTGTAAGTTCTACAACCTGAAGGAATGGAAAGTATGGTCATGTTGAAGTACTTGGGGGGGGGGGGGTGTCACTGGGGATGAGCTCACAAAAGTAATTTTCTGATGCCAGCAGATCAGGATGTAAAGTTCTTAGTGACTGCTCCCCCACCATGCCTGTCATTCTCTTTCCTGACAAGATAAGCATGGACTAATCCTGTGAAAAATAAGCAAACCCTCAATCAAATGATTTCTTTTATAAAAAAAAAAAAACAGTCTGAGGATGAACTGTCTGTGTAGATTATGGAGACACACGGGTGAAATAATATAATGGCCAGCGGAAGAAGCATGCCTCAGAGCAGCGCACTGTTAACAAGAAAAGCTACACAGGACACTTCGTGCCTACGCCATGGCTCAGTGACAAGAAAGAATGTCAAATGCCTTTTCCTCACAGTGTAGTCCAGCTGTCCTGGGACTCACCATGTAACCTGGTCATTTATTTATTCTGTAATCCTAAAGCAATGTTCTGCTAGGACACTTAAGCACATTCAGCTTCTAGCCAAGCCAGCTTCAGTTTTTCGGAAAAGGGAAAAACACCCCTGGAGGCTGCTGTTTGGGTCTGAGTGTAATAAGCTTACACGCATCCCTGGCTATCATGATGTCAGCCACACCCTTCAGTCCCAGGGACAGAACAAGCCTTAGACATCTGCCAAGACCTGATGTGACACCAATGGCTCTAAGGCTAAGCACCAAAGCCAGACACTTGCCTTTTACAAAGAACTAGCAATAATTAGTGTATTGTTTACTACTCAGGCCCGAGAGTAGTTACAAAGCAAAACAAGCAAACAAACAAAAATGGTAAAATAAATAAATAAATAAATAACTATGCCTTCAAGCCGGGTGGTGGTGGCACACACCTTTAATTCCAGCACTCTGGAGGCAGAGGCAGGCAGATCTCTGTGAGTTTGAGGCCAGTCTGTTTTTTGTTTTGTTTTGTTTTTGTTTTTTGGTTTTTGGAGACAGGGTTTCTCTGTGGCTTTGGAGGCTGTCCTGGAACTAGCTCTTGTAGACCAGGCTGGCCTCGAACTCACAGAGATCTGCCTGCCTCTGCCTCCCAAGTGCTGGGATTAAAGGCGTGCGCCACCAACGCCCGGCCCGAGGCCAGTCTGTTATACAAAGTGAGTTTCTGGACAGCCAAGGCTACACAGAGAAACCCTGTCTTAACTAAATAAACAAACAAATATGCCTTCAAAGTTCTACTTTCCTTAGTGCCGTAACTTACAACTTCTTGCTTTTTATTGGATATAAGTAACTAAAAAGTGACCAGACTAGGAATGCTAGCACAGATGAAGGCCAGCCTGGGCTACATAGTGAGACTTTGCCTCTCTTCTTTTTTAAGTGAATACAGACATATACACCTGCCATATAAATATGGATAAGATCTGCTAACATTCAAAGAGCTAAATATGTTACCAGTATCACTCACTATACAGCCTTATAATATACTTAAACATGAGGGGGAAGATATGTGAAAACATCACTCAACAGCGCCACCCCTCGTGTGCCTGTGCCTGTGTCTGTGTCTGTGTGTGTCTGTGTCTGTCTGTGTATTCAAGCATATATGCCTTTGTGTATGCTTGCAGAAGTCAGAAGACACTTGGTATCTTCCTCCAGTAAGTACTAGATACATATCCAAAGGAATTGGAGTCAGAGCACTTGTTTTGGAGGACACAACTAACTTTAACTAGGGTTCCGAGGATCTAATGCCCTCTTCTGGCCTCTGATGGCACTGCACCTTTATGCACAAGCACGCATACATAATTTTTAAAGGCTTTTTTTTAAAGAAGAGAATATACAGACATGAAGGATTATTCAGCCAGCCTTGTTCAGAATATCAGAATGAAACTGTCACTAGCAGAAAAGCAGTTGGAACTAAAGGATATTATGTTAATTTAAATAAGCTGGGTACACAAAGACAAATGCTGTATTTTCCCATTTGTATATGGAAACTAAATAGTTGATCTTAAAGAAATACGGAATAGTGGTTATGAGAGACTAGGAAAGGTGTGGGTAGGGAGGGACGGAGAAACCGGTTAATGAGTACAGGAGTACACTTGGATAAAAGGAATCATTTCTAAAGATCAAAATCAAAGTAGGATAACTATAGTAGAAAAAATAATGATAGAAAACAGCTAGTCTGGAGTAATTTTAAGCTGTCTTAGAGTTTCTATTGCTGTGACAAAACACCATGACCAAAGCAACTTGGAGAGGAAGGGATTATTCAACTCACACTTCCATACTACTGTTCACGACCAAAAGAAGTCAGGACTCAAACAGGGCAGGAACCTGGAGGCAGGAGCTGATGCAGATGCCATAGAGGAGTGCTACTCACTGGCTTGCTCCCCACTGGTTCCTCATCCTGTTTCTTATAAAACTCAAAACCACCAGCCTAGGGGTGAAACCACCCACAAAACGCCCTACCCCATTAATCACTAATTAGGAAAATCCCTTACAGCTAGATCTTACAGAGGCATTTTCTCAATTGAGGTTCCCTGTCTTCAGATAACTCTAGTTTATATGTCAAGATGACATAAGACTAGCCAGCACACAAACACAATGGAGTAATATGTTTTTAACATGATACTTATATCAAATTCCTCTGATCTCATCACTACACACTGTATCCATGTGTTGAAATGCTACTTTATACTCCATAAATATATAGTTACTATTTGTCATTTAAATTTTAATATATATTTTAGGGCTAGCAAGCAGGGTTTTATCCTGGTAATCCATGTGCAAGGAGAAAACAGACTCCAGAAAGTTGTCCTCTGGCTTACACCCTATACCACACACACACACACACACACACACACACACACACACACACACACAAATATATTTCTAAAAAAATAAATACTAAGCAAATTCTTGCATTTTATGAAGTTAATGATTGCATCAAGGATAGTGTTAATGCCTCACCTAGGTATTCAGTGAAGGTGACTGGTCTGAGTGAGATCAGGGCTCATACCGCCCATCCTAAGAAGGAATGATCTCAGAGCCTCTTGGTTCCCAAATAAGTTCCTTTGGAGTAGTACATATCTAGAAGTTGTTTCCACTTGCAGTCTAGTCATCCAGAGGGAAAGCAAAGGATTTTACTGTGTGGAATTCTGCAGCTGGACAATGATCCTTGCACAGCCAGAACTTTATATACTGTTAGGCGTTCAGAGCTCTGCAGTTAATTCTGATTTAAGGCTCCAATGTGCCTTAAAACAGAGAACAGAAAAGCCTCGGGAAGGCTGGTTAATCTTTAGGTACCCGGAATGTTATTCTCAGCAAGACGAAACATGAAACCAAAGAATGGGTAGGTTTTAGAGATCACCAATCCAAACCAAAATGAAGACATAATCTTCCCCAGGTCCCTCCATCCAGATGTAGGTGACTAGGCAATGTTGGGATGGGATAAGGGAAACACAGGATAGAGGTACACTTCTCTGAACAAATCTCTTTGGGTTCATACACCCAGGGGAAATCACTCCGGGCCGCGTCGCAGGGGATAATTTCTGTGACAACGCGTGGTAGCCGGGACAACATCAGACTTAGGGACCCCTGGCGGCCGCAAAACCCGGAGGCCGGTCGCCTAGTCCTTGGGCCGCCAGCAGCCAGGGGCTGCGCGTGCACCGTCCACGCGCTCCCCCCTCCGGCTCCGTCCCGCGCAGGCGCCGTGGCTCGCGCGTCCTGCACGTCGGCTGGCTGCCGCCGCATCCGCACTCCTTACCCGTGTGCTCGCTCCGCCGCCTCGGCCTCCAGGCTCCCGGCGACCGCCTCGCGGGGCGCCTCCTCCTCGGCCTCCGCGGAAGCCCCGGCCTCGGCCCCGCCGGCCGCCTCCGTCCCCGCAGCCTCCTCTCACCAGCGCCGCCGCGGCTCCGGCCCGCTCTCGGTCCCCTCCGGGCCGCTCCCGACCTCCCCGCCGCCCGCGGCCGCCCCGAGCCCCGCGCTCCGCCTGCATGTGGCCGCCCGCCGAGGGAGCGCGCGAGCCGCCGCCGCCGCCGAGAGCGCAGGCCCCACCGGAAGCGGCCGAGCGAGCACGGGCCCCGGGGATCCGGGCAGGCCCGGCCGGGGCGGAGACCGCGGGAGTGATCTGTGATGAAAGGATGCTCCAAAGTCACTTTGTGTGATCGCTCTTAATTCATGCGAGGGTGTGCATAACACCGAGCCCGAGATGTACAATGAGTTGTTTAGTTAACTTCCTAGTTTAAAGAGGATGTGTCACTTTAAAATCAGGATTTAGGAAGGGGGTGTGGATCTAGGGTGAGTCCCACGTGGCAGGTGTGGACGGCAGTGGGTGGAGAGGAGGATGGGAAAGTGGAAAGGTGTTTGAAAATCTTGAAAAACACTTGTAAACATAATTGCTGTAACTCACATTTACTGAGCGCTTGATTCTCTTAAGTGTAAGGATTCCTGCCCCGTCACCTGTGTTTCCCTTATTTTGCAATGAGGTAACAGCCCTAGAGAGGTTAACTCACCCAGCAAGACTTGGCTAGACAGGGTAGCAGGAGAGTTTTAGAAAGGCTGGGGATGTAGCTCAGTGGTAGAGTGCTAAATTTGGCACGGTTTTTTTCTTTTTCTTTTTTTTAAAGAAGCAGCAGCCAGGGTTAATTCTGTCTTAGAGAAGCTACATGAAAATGACGAAAGCACATGTGCCCTTAATCCCAACATTCAAAAGCGGGTGGATCTTGAGTTCAAGGCCAGTCTGGTGTACAGAATTCCAGGAAAACCAGGGCTACACAGGAACCCTGTCTAAAAAGACCAAAAAATAAAGAATAATTGAAGCAAAGGATGGAAATCAGCTGGTAAAAGAAGTGCCACTTCTTTTTAAAGATTTATTTATTTATTTATTATGTATACAGTGTTCTGTCTGCATGCATGCCTGCAGGCCAGATGAGGGCATCAGATCTTATTATGGACTGTTGTGAGCAGCCATGTGGGTGCTGGGTTTTGAACCCAGGTCCTTCGGAAGAGCTACAGTGCTCTTAACCACTGAGCCATCCCTCCAGCCCTGAAGTGTCACTTTCATCCCTTTCTAATAGCCATATATTGATTCTAATTGTGTGCAGCACCTATGTCCAGAATTAAACGAGAGATTGGCCCCGCCCTAAAGTCCTGAACTCACAAGGAAAATAATTATATAAACATTTTTGTTGCTGTGAGCTGAATGCAATGAGAGGTTCAATCCCAAAGCTAGAAGCAGACTTTTCCTGAGAAGTAGACGCCCCAGCTACAGGAGCTGGCCCAGCTGACAGGTGAGAGGGAGAGGGAGAACCTACAAAGATGAGGGGACGCTGAAGGTTTGTCAGCTTGAGACATCACAGAATTTAAAATGGTTATCCCTTGCAGAGCACTTAAAACTCACCAGCTGTCACTGTACACTAGAGATCCCTTCATCTGAACTCTGCAGTCCTTGATGGAAACTACTGCACTCGGGTTTGGAACCCAGACTGAAAATATAAACCAGAGGTCGGAGAGATATATAGCTCAGTTGGGAAGATGCTCAGTTCAAAACCCCAGTCAACATGAAAAGCCTAACTGTGCGAGGACAGGCAAGTACCTGGTGCTCATTGGCCAGCCACCCTAGCCAAATCTGTGAGCTCCAGGTTCTGTGAGTGTCCTACTTAGTTTTCTGTTGCTGTCATAAACACCATGAACAAAAGCAAGTTGGGAAGGAAAGGGTTTATTTCATCTTCCGATTTACAGTCTATCATTATGGGAAGTCAGGAGCTTGAAGTAGAAACCACAGAAAAATCCTGCTTTCTGATTTGTTTCCAGGCTTATTCTGCTACCTTTTTAAAAACTGCTTTATTGCATGTGTATGACTGTTTTGCCTGTGTGTATTATGTGTACCATATGAGTACCTGGTACCCACAAACACCAGAAGACCGCTTTTGGATTCCTTGGAACTGGAGTCAAATGCATCATTGTGAGTCGCCATGTGGGTGCTGGGAAACAATGGTTGGTCCTGTAAGCCCCTCAGCTACATTCTGTTTCCTATGCAGCCAAGCCCCACAAGCCTAAGGGTCATACTGCTCACAGTGGACTGGGCTTGGTCCTCCCACACCCACCAGAAATCTACAAAATGCCCCACAGATAGGCCTAATGCCAATCTGATAAAGACCATTCTTCAGTTGAGGGTTCCCTGCCATGGTGTGGTCACAACCAAGATTAGCCATCACAGTGACAGACCCTGTCTGAAAATCATGGACAAAATGATCTATAATTGTTTAATGCTTAAGCCTTCTGGATAAAATATCTAGAGACAAAGGAACAAAATGAGTTCAGGTCAATGATGTCTTCATAACCTGCACTTGCCTTTATTGTGGCCACATTTACTTGTAAACACGTTTTAATTTTTTGTAGAATTTTAGTTGTTTTAGATTAGCCATGCCATTAAGTGTATGCTGTCAAGTTTATCTGCCTTCCCCTGATAAAAAGCTTCGTTCCATTTTAAAATTACAAACTGCAGTTTAATAAGATTTCCTATATATGCAAATAAGTTTGCAATCATTTCTTTACAATATTTTGTTTTCAAAACGTTCTTTCAAGAAACAAACAGGTAGAGAGTGAGAGTGAATGAGGAAGAACCCCCAAATAAGCTCCTGACCTCCATACTTACCCACTCAAACATTTACACAAACATTAAATAACTTTGTGATCATACAGCTAGTAATTAATGGAATGGTTAAAGCCCGGGGTTGTCTGGCTTTAAAGTCTGCAAATGCTCTTCAGAAATCAGTCTGTAAAAGATATTAAAGCCCCAGTCAGAGACATAAAATCACTAGGAATGTTCAGGCCATAGTTGTCAGGGTGTAAATGGAGATGAGAGCCAAGAAAGAAGACAGTTAGGAAATGGGAAATTTAGAATTTCACATCCCAATGTAAATGGGGAAGTTAGGATCTGAAAAGCAGTGCTGATGCCCACGTTTATTGCTTGAATGGACAGTTAGTTAACTGTCCATTAGTAAAAAGAGAATCAAGAGCTAGGGAGGAGGATGCATCAGGGTAGGCCATTCAAATCACAGTATTTTAACACGGTGTATCTAAAAAACTTCCACCTCATTGTCCTTTCATGTATCACAATAACAATAGCATTTTTAACATTTCATTCCGAATTTTGTTATCTTGTTGCCATAACAGTTAACATTTTGTCAGTTAGTGTAACGGTATAAATAACACTATTATTTCTGACATGGTGCATTTATTTTACTTTTTAAAAACTCATTTCTATGTTTTCCTTTTATTTATGTACACTATATTTTTATCCTTTCTATTTGGTAAGAGAGATAGATAATAGATAGATACTTTGTATCTACCTGTGAAATTCAGAATGCCAGTGGCACTCAGGATTAATGTGTTCTTTCCTATTCTGAGCTCTCAAATTCAGTAGTCCCATCTCTCCAAAAACTCCAAGCACAGAAGCATAACAATAGTAAAGAGAGTCATATTCTCTTCTCTTCACACCATAAAGGAATCACCAAGACTTTTTGTTTGTTTTTGGTTTTTTGGTGTTTTTTTTTTCCATGACAGGGTTTCTCTGTGGCTTTGGAGGCTGTCCTGGAACTAGCTCTTGTGATCCACCTGCCTCTACCTCCTGAGTGCTGGGATTAAAGGCATGCACCACCATCGCCAGGCAAGAACCACCAAGATTTAAACAGATATAAAAGCCATTTTTAAGAACACTCTGGACAGTATAGATTCCATTCTCTGGTTGACCAGGTCAATAATGGTTTGGTACATTATGTCTTCAAAATTATCTGTCCAATGACAAAGCTGGTAGCTTGAAATAAGGTATTGTTTAGTTAGAGTTTCTATTGCTGTAAAGAGACACCATGAGCATGGCAACTCTTATAAAGGAAAACATTTAATTGGGGCTAGCTTACAGTTTCAAAGGTTTTAGCCCATCGTCATTATGACGAAACATGGCGGCATGCCGGCAGCCATGGTGCTGGAGAAGGAGCTGAGATTTCTACACTTTGACTCACAGGCAACAGGAGTCTGTGTGCCACACACTGAGCAAGCATAGCTAGAGCAAAGGAGACTACAAAGCCTGCCCCCACAGTCACCTACTTCCTCCAACCAGGACACACCTACTCCAGCAGAGCCACACCTTCTAACAGTGCCACTTCCTATGGGGGCCATTTCCTTTCAAACTACCCACAGGCATTATGGACATTTTTACATAATAGAAATTGGAAAATGTCTGCAGACCAAGGCTTATACACAGAAGTGTGAGCAATCTGAGTGAGTTCTTTTGGCCTACCATGGCAAAACACCATGACCTGGGTAGCCTACAAATAAATCTGCCTCTCACGTTCTGAAGCTGTCAAGCCCAAGAGTGGGCTGTGGGCAATTTACTGTCTGGTGAGGGCCACGTATTTGTTCACTGCACTTTTTGTTGCCTCCTCAAATGGCAGGGGACAGTCATTTGTTGTATGTCTTCCTCCCTCTCTAAAATTCTGGTTTTACACTCTGATTGTTGTGTTACTGTTTTGTCAATAAATTACAAATAAGCAAATGCTTTTGATTCCTACCTCAACCTAACAAAAACACATAATGTAGCATTTTTATTAGACAAGACTTGGTTTTTACATTTCAACAGGCATGACATATAACACTTGAACAAAATGTCCTAGCAAAAACCACTATTACAGGAAGTATAATAAGCACAATTTATTTAAATAAATGCTTCAGTAAGAAATGGAGAATTCGCTGGGCAGTGGAGGCACACACCTTTAATCCCAGCACTCGGGAGGCAGAGGCAGGCGGATATCTGTGAGTTTGAGGCCAGACTGGCCTACAGAACGAGTTCCAGGACAGGCTCCAAAACGATACAGAGAAATCCTGTCTCTAAAAACCAAAAAAAAAAAAAAAAAAAAGAAGAAGAAGAAGAAGAAAGAAAGAAAGAAAGAAAGAAAGAAAAAGAAACGGAGAATTCCTTGCCTGTACTTATTTTTTAATGTATATAAATGCCTTTGTAATATTCATAGTCTTTAATCAAATAAATACACTTCTAGGAATTTTCCTTAAGGAAATTAATAAGAATGTGTATAAAGGTTTATCTCAAAATGGTCACTGTTGCCTTATATTTTTTGATGCAAAGCAACCTAAATATGCTTTTCCCCTTTTATTGAAAATACATTTTTTCTTATATAATAAATCCTCCCTCTACTCCACCCAGTCCCTACTACCTCAGCTCCTGTCTGGATCTACCCTCTTCTGTCTCTCATTAGAAAACAGGCACCTTAGGGATAATAATATCAGACAGAACAGACACTCCCAACACAGCAGAATAGGACAAAACAGACAAATAGAAGGAAAAGAGGCCAAGGAAAGACACAAGAAATAGACACAGAGATCAACTCAAAGTTGCACAGTCAGGAATACCATAAAAACACTAAACTGGAAACTATAACGCAAATGCCCTATAGGGTAAAAAGAAAGAAAAAATTTAAAATAAATATAAATAAAGTAAAAAAATGAGATAATAATAAGAACCATGGTATTATTAGACAAGGAACCTCCAAAGATGCCATTGGGTTCTGTTGGCCATCTATTAGTGGGCATGCAGCCTACACTTAAGAGTAGTTAGTTTCCCTTGGAGGGAATCAAACTTTCATTTGCAAGTGGTTATCACTTGGAGATAGCTTGTGGGCTAGTCCACTTTTAGCTCTAGGATCCCATCTAGTGCAGACCTGTGAAGGCTCTCTGCACCATGTTGCAATCTCTGGGAGTTCATAGGTCATCAATCCTGTTGATTTAGAGGGTCTTGTTTCCTTGGTGTCCTATATCTCTTCTGGCTCTTATACTCTTTCCAGGCCTCTTCTTTAGGGCTTAGTGTTGTTCTAAGGTCTCTCACTCCCAGCATATTGTTTATCTGTGGGTCTCTAAATAGGATACAGATTTAAACAGAGAATTCTCAAAAGAAGAAATTCAAATGTCTGAGAAACACTTAAAGAACTGTTCAACATCCTTACCCATCGGGGAAATGCAAATCAAAAGCACTTTGAGATTTCATGTTATATCTGTCAGAATGACTAAGATCAATCAATAATACAAATGGCAGCTCATGCTACTAAGGATGTGGGGTAAGGGAAACATGCACCTTGGTGGCAGGACTGCAAACTTGTACAGCCATGATAGAAATCAGTGTGGTGGTTCCTTGGGACGACAGGAATCAATCTACCTCAAAATCCAGCTATACAACTCTTGGGCATTTACCCAAACCATGCTTCATCCTACCGCAAAGACACTTGCTCAGTCATGTTCATTGCTGCCCTGTTGTTTGTTTGTTTGCTTGTTTGTTTGTTTTTCAAGATAGGATTTCTCTGTGTAGCCTTGGCTGTCCTGGAACTCACTCTATACACCAGGCTGCCTTCAAACTCACAGAGATCTGCCTGCCTGTGCCTCCGGAGTGCTGGGATTAAAGATGTACACAACCGAAGGGCGTTGGTGACACACACCTTTAATCCCAGCACTCGGGAGGCAGAGGCAGGGGGGTCTCTTTGAGTTCTAAGCCAGCCTGGTCTACAGAGCGAGTTCCAGGACAGCCTCCAAAACAATACAGAGAAACCCTGTCTCGAGAAACCAAAAAAAGAGGCACACAACCACTGCCTGATCACTGCCCTAAAGATAATAGTCAGAAATTGGAAACAACCTAGCTGTCTCTCAACAGATGAAAAGAAGCAAGCTGAGGACAAGTACTTGTGACAAGTACAGGGTGACCAATCACCTCCTGATTCTATGTTCCCACCATGCTAGGTTGTGCTCCCAGATACTGTAATGCAGAAGAAACAATTCTTTAAGTTGCTCTTGTCAGGTATTCACTGAATCAGTGAGAGAAGTAATGCTAACATGGTCAGTGTCTCGTTGATTTGTCCAGGCTGGCTTGGAACTCACAGTTCTCCAGTAGATGCCTCCCAAATAGCTGGAATTACA